CTATCTTCCTATCTTCCTATCTGTCTATCTTCTTATTTATCTCTTATGGGATGGACTGGATGGCCCTTGAGGTCTCTTTCAACTCTAGGAATCTCTATCTATCTTCCTATCTGTCTGTCTATCTATCTATCTAGGAATTTCTGTCTGTCTATCGATCTATCTATCTTCCTATCTTCTTATCTATCATGGGATGGACTGGATGGCCCTTGGTGTCTCTTTCAACTCTAGGAATCTATCTACAGTATATTCGGGCGTATAAGACTACTTTTTAATCCAAGAAAATCTTCTCAAAAGTCAGGGGTCGTCTTATACGCGGATGTAGTCTTATGCATGGGAGTTGTCTTAACTCTATATTTTAACTGGAAAAGTTGGGGGTCATCTTATACACCCAGTCGTCTTATATGCCGGAATATACGGTATATCTCTGTCTATGTCTGAAGGTTTCTCATTGGCACAATTACTTAACGAAAAGTAGTCGCATCATTATATTATTACACAGACCCCATTCAATTTCATAATGAGTATTGAAATATATTTTTCGTTGATCACACGGGCCTAATATTTAATTCTGAGATGTTCAACCCCTTTCCCTTTTTTTTCTTTCAAGCTGGTCACCCTTTAAAAATGGAAGAAAGCAGCCGGGAATGACCAAGGCGCCCTTGTCACCTTCGTCATGTTGGAGGGATTGGTCGCCTGGGTTCTCAACAATTACCTGGGCAAATATGTCAGTAACTTGAACACGGATCAACTCTCGGTCGCTCTCCTGAAAGGTGAGATGTGTAATTTTTCATATTTTGTGATGTAGTATAATTCCTACTGTATAATTATTACATTTACATTATTTTACTGTACTATTTTTTACATTTATTATTTTAATCTATTATTGGTTTTATTACTTATTATTTTACTCTAATATTACTGTTATTATTAAATTTCCATTATTTACTCTATTATTTTTTATTAATTTATTATTTTACCCTCTTTATTATTATTGGAAGGATATGTAAACACATTTCCATTGAAGAAGATTAGAATAATAGTTTAATCAAAATTGGACAGTCTTAACTTAAATTATAGTTTTATGTAAATACTCAAAAATATTACCAGTAGCAACTCTATCAGTACTTAAAGGTTGTTATAATGGGAAAGTTTGCTCTAGATGCATCATTCACTCTCTGGCTTTAGGGTAAACTGCAACTCCCACTATGATGAGTCAGTCCCCTCAAATTCCTCCAGTAGGGTGAGTTAGTCATGGGGGTTCTGTGTGCCAAGTTTGGTCCACATCCATCATTGGTGGGGGCCACAGTTTCTCTGGTGGTTGTGGGTGAACTACAACTCCCAGAAAAGAAGGCCAGTTTCCCGCAAACTCCTCCAGTTATCAAATTTCAGCATATCAGGTCTGTGTGCCAAGTTTGGTCCAGATCCATCAGTGTTTGGGTTCACAATGCTCTCTGGATGTAGGTGAACTACAACTCCCCCAAATCAAGGTGAATTTCCTCCAAAGATCTCCAGTATTTTTTCATGGTCATGTCGGCTCTGTATACTAAGTTTGGTTCAATTCCATCTTTGGTGGAGTTCAGAGTGCTCATTGATTGCAGGTGAACTATAAATCCCAGTACCTACAATTCCAAGATGTCCAGGCCAATTCCCCTCAAAACCCACCAAATTTGGCCATATTGGGTATGCACGCCAAGTTTGGTCCAGATTCATCATTGTTTGGGTTCATAGATGGAGGTGAACTACAACTCCCATAAATCCCTCCAAATACCCCTAGTATGTTTTGGTGCTAATAGGGGTTCTGTGTGCCAAGTTAGTTCCAGGCCCATCATTGGTGGAGTTCAGAGTGTTCTAAGATTGCAGGTGAACTATACATCCCAGGACCTACTGCTCCTATAAATCATGGTGAATTCTCCCCAAACCTCTGTTACTCATTAATTCCTTGGTTTACCATAGAAAAGAATAGGAAAGGGTTAAGGGAGAAGCAGTGGGAAGAGTCATGCAAACTCCTCACCAATTGAGGACATGGGATGTCTGTGGTGGAGGAAACACATACAATCTATGATGAAGGTATGAAAGCCTTCCCTTTGGTGGTGGGCAGCGTGGTGTTGGTGGAGAACACAGGCATGGCTCTTGGACATGTTCATGGCACTCACTATGGGAGAGGCAGTGGGCGGGGTCATGCAAATTCCACACCAATGGAGAGAGTGAGAAACACTGGGATGTCTATGGTGGAGGAAACACATATAATCTAGGAGGGACGCTATAACCTGCATTGTTACTGGAGTAGTAACGTTGGTGTAGTAGTGGGATATATGTTTGTGCTTCTTGAATGATGACTCTTAGGTGCTGAATACATCCTTGAGATGTTAGTTGTTTTGTTCTCTGTCAGTTTTGATGCCCTGATATCTTTTTTTTCCCCTTCAGGTGCCGTAGAGTTGGAAAATTTACCGCTAAAGAAAGATGCATTGAAAGAGTTGTTGCCTTTTGAAGTCAAAGCTGGTATGCATGCTCTCCTTCTCTTCTTCTCCTTCTTTTCTGCCTTCTCTTCCTCCTTTTCTTCTCTTTCTCTCTCACCTCCCCCTCTTTCTTCTTTTCCTCCTTCTCTTCTTCCTTCTCTTCCTTCGTTGACCTCCTTGTCCTGCTTCTCCTCCTTCTCCACCTTCTTTTTTTCCTCCTCTTCCCCTTTTCTACCTTTTCTCTTTTTTCTCCTTCTCTTCTCTCTCTTCTCCTCCTTCTCATTCTTCCTTTTCTTTTCAGCCTTCTCATTTTCCTCCTCTCCCTTCTCTTTCATCTCCTTATCATCCTTTTCTTCCGCCTTCTCTTTCTCCTCCTCCTCCTCCTTTTCTGCCTTCTCTTCCTCCTTTTCTTCCTTCTTTTTTTTCCTCCTCCTCATTTTCTTCATTCTTCTTTTCTGCATTCTCTTCCTTCTGTTCATCCTCCTTTCCCTCCATCTTTTCTGCCACCACCACCTTCTCTTCCTTCTTTTCTTCCTCCTCTTCCTTCTCTTTCATCTCCTTATCATTCTTTTTTCTGCCTCTTCTTTCTTCTTCTTCTTTTCTGCTTTCTCTTCTTCCTTTTCATTCTTCTCTTTCTTTTCCCATTTTCTTCATTCTTCTTTTCTGCCTTCTCTTCCTTCTGTTCATCCTCCTTTCCCTCCATCTTTTCTGCCACCACCTCCTCCTTTTCTTCCTTCTTTTCTTCCTTCTCTTCTTTCTTATCCTCCTTCTCCTCCTTTTTTGCCACCTCTTCCTTCTTCTGCTTTTCTTCCTTCTCCACCTCCTTTTCCTTCTCCTCTTCCTTTTCTGCCTTTTTCAACTTTTTCTGTTTCTTCTCCTCCTCTTCTCTCTCTTTCATCTCCTCATCCTTCTTTTCAGCCTTCTCCTCTTTTTCTCCTCCTCCTCCTTCTTTTGTGCATTCTCTTCCTCTTCATTCTCTTTCTTTTCCCATTTTCTTCATTCTTCTTTTCTGTCTTCTCTTCTTTCTGTTCATCCTCCTTTCCTTCCATCTTTACTGCCACCACCTCCTCCTTTTCTTCTTTCTTTTCTTCCTTCTCTTCCTTCTCCTTTTTTGCCACCTCCTTCTCTTCATTCTCCACCTCCTCCTTCTTTTCTCCTCCTCCTCTTCCTTCTCTGCCTTTTAAAACCTTTTTCTCTTTCTTCTCCTCCTTCTCCTTTTCCTCTTCCCTTTCTTTTCAGCCTTCTCATTTTCCTTCTCTTCCTTCTCTATCATCATCTCCTCCTCCTTTTTTGCCTTCTCTTCCTCCTGTTCATTCTCCTTTCCCCCATCTTTTCTGCCAACTCCTTCTAATCCTTTTCCTCCTTCTTTTCTTCCTTCTCTTCCTCCTCCTCGTTCTTTTTTTTTTGGCTGCCTCCTTCGCCTCCTGCTTTTCTTCCTTCTCCACTTCCACCTTCTTTTCCTCCGTTTTCTGCCTTCCTCGCCATCTTTTCCTTCTCCTTGTCCTCCTCCTCATCTTCCTTTTCTGCCTTTTTTTACTTTTTCTCTTTCTTCTCTTCTTTTCTCTCTCCTTCTTGCCTTTTCAGCCTTCTCATTTTCCTTCTCTTCCTTCTCTTTCATCTCCTTCTCCTCATCCTTCTTTTCTGCCTTCTCCTCTTTCTCCTCCTCTTTCTTCTCCTCTATTGCTATGTTTAATTCAGTTTTAATGGTTGCATATTGGTATATTTTGAATTATGTGGTCATACTTTTAACTGTAAGTGGAGCCTGTTGTAATGGCCGAATGCCCACCTTGTTCTCCCGGAACTGTGTAGGCTTCATTGGGAAGATCACGCTCCAGATCCCGTTCTACCGCCCCCATATCGACCCGTGGGTGATCTCCATCTCGAAGCTGCACCTGATTGGCTCGCCGGAAAAGCAGAAGGACTTTGACGATGAAGGAGAGAAGCTTTTGGAGAAAGAGAACAAGAAAGCTCTTTTGCTGGAGCTGGAAGAGAGGTGGAAAGTGAGTCCATTGACTCTGACATGCAAATATATATAGATGCATACAAACATATTTTTACTTTTAGTTGATGGATACATAGATAGACAGATGCATAGATAAATAGATAAAAGATAGAGAGATAGATAGATTCCTAGACTTGGAAGGGACTTCAAAGGCCATCCAGCCCAACCCTAAACAGGTATATATTTATTTACAGCATTTATATGCCACCCTTCTCACTCCGAAGGGGACTCAGAGCGGCTTAGGATATATATATATATATATATATATATATATATATATATGTGTGTGTGTGTGTGTGTGTGTGTGTGTGTGTGTGTAAAATATGTAATATTACATGTAATGTAAAATATGTAATTATAATACCGTGTTATTATTAGTATTATATTTATTATATTTATTTATCTGTATTATTATTATTATTATTAGTAGCATATTGTATTACATTATAATATTATCAATATTATATGTAAATACAATATATTATATTATTACCATAGCACAACATTAGCATTATATATTACTATATTGTACTATGCCATTATACTGCAGTATTATTAGTTATATTACATGTAATATAAAATATATAATTATAATAATTATGTAGTATTATAATTATATAGTATTATAATTATTATTACTAGTATTATATTGCATTACATTATAATATTATCAATATTATATGTATATACAATATATTATATTATTAGCACAGTGCAGGAGACAAGGGGGAACTGTCTTCCTGGCCCCCTCTCTTCACTCTGGTCCCAGAGCAGCAGTTATAATATAGTACTATAATGTTAGTACAATATCCGTATTATGTATTACTATATTGTACTACACCATTATATTCTAATATTATTCGTAATATTACATTTCATATAAAGTATATAATTATAATGTTGTATTATTATTATTAGTCTCTTCTAAGTCTAGGAATCTAGCTATATTATATCTAATCTAATGTATATACATATAATATTGATAATATTATGATGTAATACAATATAAAACTAATAATAATACAATATTATATATATATATATATATATATATATATATATAAAATGTATAATGGTAATATTGCATTATTATTATTACTCCCTTCTGTGTCTAGGAATCTATATTATATCTAATCTAATCTAGTGTATATACATATAATATTGATAATATTATAATGTAATGCAATATAAAACTAATAATAATACAATATTAATATATACACACATAAAATATATAATTATAATATTGTATTATTATTATTAGTCCCTTCTATGTCTAGGAAACTATATTATATCTAATCTAATCTAATGTATATACATATAATATTGATAATATTATAATGTAATGCAATATAAAACTAATAATAATACAATATTATAATTATATATTTTATATTGCATGTGCTATTACTAATAATATTGCAATATAATTGTGTAATACAACATAGTAATATATAATACTGATATTGTACTATGTTAATAATATAATATAGTGTGTGTGTGTG